AAATTTCTCATTGATGAGGGTAGCTTATTTTTTCGTACTTTGAAGCCGATAAGAGATCATGCACTATTTTCCTACCCACCGAAAAAGAGACAAGCCTCATTATTATCGGAGATAGAGAAAACATGAGCTATAAAACTGCTAAAAGGTCTAGTATAAAAACAGACAAAGAAAAGAACGTTCGTATAACTACAACACGATTACTGCTTAAAAATTCCTAGTAAATACTAAAAGATAGTCATCATAAATATGTTCTTGTAAAAACATTGTACATCGTTCAGTTAGTGTGAAAAAATATTTGATTGATCGCTGTTTTGACTTGATTGCCGCAAAAAATTAAAATCAACTTTACACGGCCACATTGAATTTTGTCTATCATCACTACCACCGCTGATATTCAGAAATGATTCACGCCTTAACGGATGACATTTTGGCTCTGGCAGTAAATGAATTCCGACTGTTGTAGTCTTTGGTAGCTGCTGTTGTTCGTTTTCCAGTAGATTTTGATTTTGGTTCGCAATAGCGGTAAAAGCTCCAGATATTTCATTTATACTGTACTCTGACAAGCTTAAGTTCAAGTGGTTGAATTAAGTGATTTATGAGCACTAGATATACACCTACCGGAATGTTTGTTCTCCCATCATCCTTTCTTCTAATGAATATGAGTTTTGAGACGGCACGGCCCCAGGATGGTCGGTAAAAGTGGCTCTTATTCTTGGCCAGAATGATTTGAAACAGCATCAAACAACGTGTGGAGAACGTTCTTTTGATGAGTATTTGTACCGGATGACCAAGAATAAGAGCCATTTCCACTGACCACTCTGGCGCCACGCCCTCTCAAAAATTCTATTCACTAGAAGAAAAGAAGATGGCAGAAAAACATTCTGGCTGGTGTTTATCTAGCACTCATAAATCATTTAATTCAATCACTTGAACGGTCTCTTAAGCTTGTCAGAGTACAGTATAAGTGAAATACCTGGAGCTTATACCGCTATTGCGAACCATGATCAAAATCTGCTGAAAAGGGAACAACAGCAGCAACCAAAGTCTACGACCGTTTCATTTACTGCCAGAGCTAAAACATCATCCGTTAAGGTGTGAATCTTTTCTGAATATTAGCGATGGTAGTGACGATAGAGAAATTTAATGTGGTGGTATAAAATTGATTTTAATTTTATGCGGCAAACAAGTCACGATCAAACATTTTTTCGCACTATATTTCCTGGTATTGGTACGTTGATCGGTGGGACCATTGGTGGCTTTGTTGGTTCAGTCGGTACCTCGTCATTGTCACAAGGGTTGACGGAATATTTATTTGATTTACCGCAAAGTGTTGCATTAGAAAATGCTTACAAATTCTTGAACCTGTCACCATCTTGTTCGAATGATGAAATTAATAGAAGCTGTAGAACATTAGCACTTCGATTTCATTCGGATAAGGATGGAAAGACTGAAGATTTCCAGAAACTACAAATTTCAGTAGCAATAATTAAAGAAGCCCGTGAACAAGAGGGTCCACAGTGGGCAATTTTTGATAGGCACTTGAATTGAATTATCTGTATATGTTTTCATTTGCTGTTACATATTGTAAACATTTTGAGTACCTGTTTTCGATGTTTGGTTTGACAAAGTAATCATTTCTGAAAAAAAGTTTCAAAATGTTGACCTCATGTTGACACCGAAATTATTTTTTTTTTCTGCTATCAAAGCTTAGTGTTTTAATTGTTTATACTGAATTTTATAGAGAAAAAAAGAGATTCAAAATGTAAGGGCAAAAGGAAGAGTTGTCAAAATTTTTTGTGAGAAAAAAGTAGTTTTCGAGCAAAACTTTTCGTTTCTCATACTCTTCATTAGAATTTGAATTTTAAATGAAACATATACAGATAATTCAATTCAAGTCAGTAAAAGTTATTCAGACATTTCAAGTTGGAGGGTGAAATAATAGTATACGTGCCTCTCTTCGAAGTCTAACATCAAACTAGACCATAACGGCAAATAGGCAAACCATCTGTACGTAGTTCGAATTACGCTTCTCGAGAAAAGCGGATTTGTGATAGTATTATATTTCGTGCTGCTATCTAACAAGTTTACTACATCTGGAATCTGTTTTCTCGCTTCAATGTTAAACGGTGATTGGTGAATAATAGCTTCACTAGATATTTTAGTTTCATCAACTTCTAATGGATCTTGCTCTTGTTGTTGCTGTTGACCGTCATCCTCATCTTCGTAAATTATTTTCGTAGTAGAATCGTCGAGACCAATATTCAAAAAATGTTGTAGCAGTGCTTGTGAGTCTGTGTTATATGGATCACCGAAAATCTGTATTACAGCATTCACTAGTTGCATAGCTTGATCGAGTGTCACGGACAATAAAATAAAAGCGAAGAGATGCATGATCTGTTTTCTTGTGTCCTTTTTAACTTGTGCTGCTTTTAAGCTACGTGAGAATGCTTTCATAACATGAGCGCAACAAAATCCT